CTCGGAAGGTTGAGGTGGAAGGATCGCCGGAGCTCAGCAGGTCGAGGCTGCGGTAGCCGGGAGTGGCCACTGCACTCCAGTCTGGGCGAAAGAGTGAGACTCCAACTCAAAAAAAAAAAAAAAAAAAGATGGAGAATTCTATACTAGGGAAACCCTACCCAAGAGAAAGATAGCATAGCTAAGCTAATATAAAATAAAATTGACTTTAAAGCTTTATTTTAAATTATAGTGAAGAAGTAGGTAGAGATTTATTATCTAAATGGCCATTACTACCTTTTCAAAATGTATTGAAACAATAAGAATATACTTGGGAGGAGAAAAGCCATTATCCGCATTTCCATTATCCACATTTCCTATCACTTAGATTATGTTGCATACGTAATAGCATTCAGTGATTATGCATTTTTCATGATATCGTAGAGCTGGTTTATTATTATTTTTTAACAGTGAGTGCATTGCTTGAATATTTTAAAAGTCCTACTTGAGAAAAAGCATTTGGAAACAGGTATGCAGGTGTAGTCTGTTCAGAGAATGAGTTAAATAAAACAAAAACAAAAACAACAACTTTGCCAAACAATTTTTCCGTGAAGGCCTGATTGGAACTCTGTTGAATGCATGGATGAAATTTTGAGCAGGTAACCCACTATATGTATTTACTTGATTTTGCTCTGAAATAATGGTAGCAACTAATCTTTGGAAAGTTTTTCTTACGTGAAACATGCATTTGAATTTCATAAATCCATGATATAGGACTTTTTCACTTGGAGAATGGAACATCTCAGAAATGAAGACACAAGGTCAGTGGAAAAACATTGGAAATAGCATGGCACAGGTGGCCAGTGAAATCCGAGACAGTGTAGACTAATAGAAAGGTCACGGGCTGAAAAAAAATCATACTGATATCAACAATTAGTATAATTTAAAATTGTTTTATAAAGCTCTTAGCACAGGACCTGACCCATACTGGTCACTTAATAAATGTTACTCGTGAGTGTTGCTAATATTATTAGAGAAACACCGCTTTAGACATTCATGTTGTAACTTATAATAAAGTATTTTCTTTTAAGCAGGTATTTTATAACTATTTATTAGGAAATATTAATTTACCTTTTACACGACTAAAAATAATTTTATAATAAAAATGCCACATAAACTATTAGTGAACAAAAACTAAGAGCAAACAAAAAAGAAAAAATATCATTCATAATCCCAGATGTAGAAAATAATATTTCTATTATTTTAGAGTATAACCAAGGCTTTCTGGGCCCTCTTCCAATATGTAAAAAAAAAAAAAAAAAAAAAAATATATATATATATATATATATATATATATATATATATATATATTTTCT